ACTTCAAGCTAATCATTACAGCTAATTGCTTATTAGTGAAAAATAAATATATATATTTATAAAATCGCAAAAAATATAAATACTAAGTAACATACATTTATGAAGTTGCAAAGTAAATTAAATATTAACGAACGTGTAGCTAGTGGTCAGTCCGTGGCTACTCTGTTCCAGTTTTTAAGTTCTAATCCCAGCTGAAGCGAAGATGAATATGAAAACAGATTTTATGGCTTTCGTGTCTAATTGTGTTGTGCTTGTGTATGCCTCAGTATCGCTGAGGTTATATCCTGGGCCACTTTCGATCTAACTGCTTAAGCAAAACATCATCATAATTGTTGCTGGTTCTTCCTAGGGCAGAGGTATTTTTCGAACCAGTAGTATATGAAAAAATGACTTTCAATAAGTATTATGTCATAATCAATATTGAATAAAAATCACTAATTCATTAATTCATTCATCAAACACAAGGTAGGTTAGGAGTTAGGACAGCAGGAGTAAGACAATCGTGTGTATTTGCAGTTTCAGATTCATTATTATTAAGTTAAATGGAAGTTGTTGCTGTGGTCGAAAGCTGTCCACACGGTCTTATTTACAGATTGTGAGCAGTTTATAAAATGGAAAATTTTATAAGAGTTACTACGTTCGGAAAAATATTATACTAAATATAAAAAAGTCAGAAGAGGTGAAATAGACTATGCAATGGCTAACCACTAAGTACAAACAACAGACTAGGTAATTTTATAAACCACTTTATTCTTTCACGCATATCATATTTAATTTACATCCTAATTCTTTCCGCAAAATAACGTCTTATTTTATTAAACATTATTTTATCATTTCATTCACTCTTCGGAATATATTTTATTACAGTTAGATGTGAACTTTTACAAGATATAAATATTGTTTAGAGTTCGTTGACTAGATCTGACACTACTATCCTACTACTACTGTGAAATCTGGCAACTTTGCCAATTTTGGAAGGACTTAAAAGTTTAGGACCAAATTTCAACAAAAAAATGTACTGTCGGACTCGGCTGTTAAATGTGACATTATATTCTTCATAGATTTGGTATTTATTAGTGATTTAAACAAATACATACATTAAATAGAGAAAATACTCAAAACTAGAAAACGACAAAGTTAACCTCACTTTATGGCAACTTTGACATCAGGGTATATAATGAAATTAATAGGATTTGACTTCAAGGTCGAAGGCTCGAAGGTAAGTTTACCTCAAAATATAATACACAACACTCAGAGTTATAATTTGCTCCTTTAATTGTGTTGTAAATAGCAAAGTTTACTCTTGTGGCAAAGTTGCCCTCCCATTTTTCAATATTTCATACAAACTTTAAAATATCTGTCAGGGTTGTAAAAAATCCTTCATTACGTGCATAACTTAAACTTTTTCTATTTAAATCTTGTCACTATAATTTCTTAAGCAGAAATCTAAAATATATCAAACAATAATACTCTCGTATAAAATTAAAAATCGAACTGGTGCAATAATAAGCTTAAATCAATTATAGTCCTATAGTATAAAAAAATCGTCCTTCTTCCACTTGACCGCATCCAGCGCAGAGCGGCTCGAATCGTCGACGACCGAGTCCTTTCCGATCGGCTCGACTCATTGGCACTGCGAAGAGATGTTGCATCTCTTAGCATTTTCTTTCGCATTTACCATGGGGAGTGCTCTGAGGAATTGTTCGGATTAATCCCAGCCGCCAAATTTCACGAACGCACATCGCGGTAGAACTCCCGATACCATCCACACCATCTGGATGGTTGGCGGTCCACCACTGTGCGATTTAGAAGATGTTTTCTTCCTCGCACAACTTCCTTGTGGAATAGTTTACCACCAGCGATTTTTCCGGACCGATACGACTTAGGGACCTTCAAGAAAAGAGCCTACTCCTTTTTAAAAGGCCGGCAACGCATCTGCAATTCCCCTGGTGTTGCGGTTGTTCATGGGCGGCGGTAGTCACTTACCATCAGGTGAGCCGCATGCTCGTTTGCCCCCTCTCCTATAAAAAAAAAAAAAACAATCATTTTTGACAAGTATTCATTTTTTTTCATCCTCATCATCATTTTATTACGGTTCTTAGTATAATGATGTCAGGTCATAATTATTATATTCCATTTAAATATTGTTTTCCCACATTAATAATAATCATTAAAAATGACACTGTTTTTTGGGGTGCAAATTAATATCAATACACTAATTTGAAGTTATGAAAAGTACTGACTGACTAGTAATAATATTATTAATGCCCGACAACGCAGTAAAAATAATATAAATTTCTGTTTTCTTTTCCTTCACTTTCATAAAGAAGAATTAATTGACAACTCATTTGGTAAAATCGCTCTAATGGGCTGCTACGGTGACACATTGATACAAACATATATACATAGAACGTCAAGTACAGAACCTGTTGTTTGTGTTGTTTAAATAGTCGTACTCGGTTAAAAATAAAGGTTGAAAGTGACAACCCTTGGTTGTAGCAAAACATTGCAAAGTAACTGTCACATAGTGGCATAACTAGTATGGTAAATTTACCAAGTAAGTTTTATAGATAAATGTTAAGACCAACATGTTAAAAACGATATATTACATTTGATAACCATTATATTACGTAACTACAAAGATATAGATACCTACATTCAGTATTTCAAACAAAATTTCTGGAGCACTGAACAAAGAGGTTAAGTCGCCGGCATAATTCCATGTTAAAATAAAATGCCAAAATAAACTCTCATATTGCGATATCGAAAACAATGCTGTCAATTAGTTATTGTATTTTCATCCAAAAATCTCGAAAAAAGTTACGTTTTCTGTGTTAATGGTAATTTTGTACTCGTACACCACTGATGGGAATGTTAACTTCCATTCGTATTACCAGACTTGACTGCACTACGAGTATACTTGTTCTACTATGTGCGACCAGTGCTACTATGTTCTTTTTTATTCTTGTCACCTATAACATTATTTCCATTCGCCATGGCTTGACTGGGAGAAAATGCCAAAAGACGTTAAGAAGGCGGCTCTACATTCTTTCTTTAAGGTTTTACATTAAATATATATATATATATATATATATATATATATATATATATAAATACAATAATATATTGTACTAGTTAAATAAGGAGACACAAAATAGGTATTACTTAAGGAATTTGGATTTACTACTTTATGCGCAAAAAAAACCTCACGTCTTAAAATTAGTGCGTTTCAAAAAATTGGTGCAAAATACATTCAAAATTAAATTTTTACTACATTCTCTAAGTTTAAATACAATCATACTGAAAACAGTATAAAATATAACAAACTAACATTTCTGCGGGTATTTAAAGAAGAATGTAAATTTTTATCTTGCCCTTTTACAACAGGAACAAGCTTCTGATAGCACCTACAAATTAGTTACCGAAGTCATTGATAACTATGACATCACGACGGGATATTCTCTGCACAACAAATACTCTTAGGTACATCTCTATTTATCCAACACAAGCAGTATTCATTACGACACTATTATAGAGATATTTTTAGAGATATTCCGTCTTAAAAATTTATAAGAATTTATTAGTCTCAAAACCCAACTTGTAAATTTAAGGCGAAACAACGTTGGCGATTGTAATATTTTTCGAAGTTTGTATCTAAATTATTTGAAGTTACAGAAAACACTTCATTTATTGAGTTTGAGTTAACAAAGTTTTGCTCCACATGGTGCAATCTACAGAATGCATAATATATCAATAATTTAAGATAAAAACCGACAAAGCTTACTAAATTTGAAACTAAAATCAATTGTTCTGATAAGAAGCGAGAAAAGGCCATTTCTCAATGAAATTCAAGTATATGTATATTAAAATAATCTAAGTGTAACATTGGTAAAGATTATCGGAATGATTTACTATTTCGATAATCGTTATCACTTTGAAATTACTATAACGACATAATCAATATTCCGAAACGCAACAAAAAAAAATCTAAACAGAACGTAGATAAAAACGAAGAAATGATAACAAACGTCAAAGCGCATAGGGCGTAAGCAATTCTCATATCCGACTCATTAAATGAGTCGCCCAATGGAAAGCATAATAAAATTACACACATGGACGTCGGTAGTCAGTGAGCTGGTTTTCATGTGCTACAATACTCAAAACAAACATTTATTAAATATTATAAGCTACTTTAACTTTGCACTTGACCTACTAGTGAAAGACTTAATAGTATTTTATAATTACAAAATCAATTATTGAATACCTTATAAAAGCGTCAGAGAATCACAAAACAATATCTAAATATTTTTACATGCGAACGCATTGACCATTATATCTGTCAATAAATTTTAATTCAAAACGTATTAGCAATTGTTAAATTTCAATTATTATACAATTAGTGCAAATAAATTATCGTACATACTAAGAGAATTTATAACTTAAATGATATTGTTGTTTCCAAGTTATGTAATATTGTATATTTTGTCTGGAAACGGTATGTTTTCAAAACTTTATTGCTTAGGTACTTATTATTATTTTAATAGACGTAGTTAACCTGCCTATCATAACATATCTTAGTAAAATGCTGTATATACATTTAAGTGACGTTTTATTAATAAGAAATTTATAGATTTACATCTAACTTTTACGCAAAACCGCATGACTAAGAGGACATTGTCTGACAAAAATATAAATCGATTTACATTCGGAATACAACGGATGTACACGGACAATGGACGTTAGTAATGCCCGTCCTCATCTATGTCGAAGCGTGTCTAGTTCTTAAATTATGTGAATTAACTTCGTTGGGAGGTCATGTGTAATCAAAAGCATTGAAATTCATCTCAGATGATTTTTTGCAAACTGCTATAAAATGAGATGAGCATATAATTATAACGCTTTTCGCTACACATTAAGCATGTTATAAACATAATTGATTTCATAAATTTTTAATAAGTTGGAAAATCAATATCACATAACACATTTTATTTAAATTTCAGATGAGGCATGATCACCTGGCGCCATTATTGGCAGTGGCACTATGGCTTGTTATCGTGCTCCCAACAAACACACAGTTAGTCAACCCAGTATCATCATTCCTCAATTTTCTCCAGGAAGGCTCTAACCATCTGGATAATGAACCTTTAGATCAGATTAATATGCTCTCAGAATACGACTTTGTTATCGTTGGCGCTGGTACTGCCGGTTGCGTACTAGCCAATCGTCTAACAGAGATACCTGACTGGAAAGTTCTCCTGGTGGAAGCAGGAAACAATGAAAATTTTGTAATGGACATTCCATTACTGGCAAATTATCTTCAATTCACATCTGCTAACTGGGGTTATAAAACGAAACCCTCCAGCAAGTATTGTGCGGGTTTTGAAAACCAACAATGCAACTGGCCACGTGGAAAAGTCGTCGGAGGATCGAGTGTCTTAAATTATATGATTTACACGAGAGGTGCACCACACGATTATAACTTTTGGAAAGAAATGGGAAATGAAGGTTGGGCATGGGATGATGTTTTGCCATATTTCAAAAAAGTCGAAAATTTCAATATACCTTCATTAGATGATCCAAAATATCATGGACACGAAGGATACTTAAATGTCGAATATTCACCTTATCGTACAACGAAGTCTAAGGCTTGGGTCAAAGCAGCACAAGAAATGGGATTCAAATACACAGATTATAACGGTGTCAGCCCATCTGGAACTTCATTTCTGCAGTTATCTATGAAAAATGGCACCCGACATAGTTCAAGTAGAGCTTACTTACATCCTATAAACAAAAGAAAAAATCTTCATTTATCAAAAGGAACCATGGTTACAAAACTTATATTTGACAGAACAAAAACCAAAGTTATAGGAGTGGAAATAGAAAAAAGAAACAGAAAATATAAAATTTTAGCTAAAAAAGAGGTCATATTATCCGCTGGAGCAATTAATTCTCCTCAGTTGTTAATGTTATCAGGAATCGGGCCCAAAAGCCATTTAGAGGCTATGAATATACCAGTAGTAAAGGATTTACCAGTTGGATATAACTTGATGGATCATATAGCTGCTGGTGGTTTGCAGTTCATGGTACATAGGCAAAACATGAGTCTTAATACAGAATATTTATTAAACCACCTAGAATTAGTATTTAAATGGATGAGAACACATAAAGGGCCACTATCTATACCTGGTGGATGTGAAGCTCTTATATTTATGGATTTAAAGGATAAATTCAACATCACGGGGTGGCCTGATATGGAACTGTTATTTATTAGCGGAGGATTAAACGCTGATCCTTTACTGCGAAGGAATTTTGGTTTCGACGAACAGATTTACATGGATACGTACTCCTCATTGGAAAAACAAGACGTTTTTATGGTTTTCCCAATGTTAATGCGTCCAAAATCTAAAGGTAGAGTAATGTTATCAAGCAGGAACCCTAAAGTGCATCCAACTTTAATACCAAACTATTTTGAATATCCCGAGGATTTGCAGAAAATAGTCGAAGGCATCAAAGTAGCTATTCAAATATCAAGACAGCCGGCCATGAGAAAATTGGGCGCAAAATTGTATGACGTGCCAATAGAAGACTGCTTAAAATATGGGCCATTCGGTAGTGACGCATATTTTGCTTGCCAAGCCCAAATGTTTACGTTCACAATTTACCATCAAAGTGGTACTTGTAAAATGGGAGTAAAGGCTGATCCTTCTAGTGTCGTTGATCCAAGACTACGAGTTCATGGTGTAGCAAAACTAAGGGTAATTGATGCTAGTATTATGCCTGAAATTGTGTCGAGCCACACAAATGCCCCAGTCTTCATGATAGCAGAAAAAGGAGCAGACATGATCAAAGAAGATTGGGAAAGGCTAAGATGATCCATTAATTATAACTAGTATAAAAGCATAATCTGTGATTTTTAAATTTAGGAACACGGGACAATTATTATATTTGTATTAACCTAATGATAATAATACACTGAATTGTAGAGAAGATTGGTCGTAATCGCTACGTTTAGCAGATGGGTTGGCGATCCCAGTACCATAAATGCCTTAGCGGTGTTGTACCGTTGTATCTTTCATGGAGTAGCACGTTTTTATCTCTTACAACACTTACAGGATGAAATGATTTTTTTATCCTGCCATCACAGAGCTAATTACGGAATCAACTATTGGTTACTAGAAATGTTTTTGTTTTAACTTTTACGTAATTAGTTTTACTTAAATTAAATAATTTTATTTATTTACAGATGCCATAAAAAGAAAATGTAAGAAATAAGTCATATAATTGTAGTTCTATTTATTTAGTTTTTTTTTATAGGATAAGGGTGACAAACGAGCACACAGTCCACCTGATGGTAAGGGGTCGCTGTGGCCCATAGACATCTACATCTATCTTCGATTAAGAGTCAAAATGTAGATGCGTTGTCACCCGTGAGGACTAAGATGGAATGCCTCGTTTCCAGTAAAAAGACTCTGCGGTTCTCTACACTCACCATACGAAACACAGCAGCGTTAAGCTGCTATTTTACGCTGGTTTTCTGTGAGAGCGTGGTCCTTCCCCGGTCGAGCCGACCCATTCGTGCTACAACCATAATATAGATGCAGCATGGCTCTACCACGTATAAAATTATTTAGTATTAAAATTCATTTTCTGTTAAATACAGATATCAGTGCCGTAAAATGTATAATATATTATATATTATGTTATATGTAATAAGACACTTTAAAAATTGATAAAAATATACAAATATAGTAGAAATTAGTTTGTATTGTGTTGTCTTGATTTAAAAAGAGGTGGTTAGAAATATATAAATGTCGCAACTATTTTTAGTTCCTTATTACCACATCGTTAGTAAGTGATTTAAATAATGAAAGCAATTATTTATAATTGCAATTTGTTGATAATGTATAATCACGTTCAAAAATGTTTCTCTGAATAATAAGCCATAGCAAAGATATATTATCCATATTGTCCCGTGCGTATCGTATGAGCGGACAAAGGAAACAAAGCAGAAGATGGGCAGCAGCATCAGCGTCTTCCTAATAACAACTAGAAAATAAGAGAGAGTTTGTGTATCTGGGTTCGAAGTTTACGATAGACTGAAAGTGTGAGAATAATATCGAAAGAAGAGAGCAGGAAATATGGTGAATGGAGCTTTGCACTCCTTTATGAGCAGTCGGAAGGTGTCTAACAAGGCTCGTTTGGCTGTGCATGAGGGGGTGTTGGTTCCCACACTCATGTACGGAAGTGAAATGCAGTTGAGATGAGAGCGTTAAGAAGTATGATAGGATTTAAACTGAGTGACAGGATAGGAAATAGTGAGATAAGGAAACGTTGTGGTCTGAAAGAAGATGTAGTGACAAAAATTGAGAAAGGTATGCTGAGATGGTTTGGCCATGTCGAGAAAATGAATGAAGAACGATTGACGAAAAAGGTGTATAAGGCGAGTGTGAATGAAAGTGTTGGAAGGGGTAGACCTAGGCGGACGTTTCTAGACCAAATCGTCCCTGATTTGAAAATTGTCTTGAAAAAAGGCCTGGTCAAGAGTACCCTAAACCGAAGAGCATGTATGAATGGAATAATGAAAGCGGACGAAGCGAAACAAGTATGTAAGGATCGTAGCAAGTGGAATGAAGTGGTCTCTGCCTACCCCTACGGGAAAGAGGCGTGATTATATGTATGTATAGAAAATAAGAAACTGCGGCTTTCAACCCACCTGGGGTTGACAGCCGCAGTTTCTGAAGTGTATGAAGAATTTGAGAGGCCTATTTTCTGTGGTGGACTTTGATGACCTGTAATGATGATGAAACAAAGATGTATTTCTCTAAGTCCGCCAACATGCACTTGGACAGTTACCGTTACCGTTACAGCCTTTTAAAGTCCACTGCAGGTCTCCCCATAGATAGCCTCATAAGGGGGATAAGCCATAGTTGCTACGCTTAGCAAGCTGGTTCTTTAATCGAAAGACGCTGCTGTTTTTGATGGATTTGTTTCCCTTTGTCGTCTCTTACAACACCCACGAGATGATATGGGGTAGTGGATATTCTTACACCGCCACTACACAGGCAATGGAACAGTGCGACGGACAAGCTCCATAACCCTCTCAGAAATGAGAGGTCTGTGCTCAGCAGTGGGGCATATACGTAAGCCGTTGGTAAGTATTTTTTTAAAGGATAAGGGTGACAAGCGAGCACACAATCCATCTGATGGTAAGTGGCTGCTGTGGCCCATAGACATCTACACCTATCCTCGTTTGCGAATCAAAATGGAGATGCGTTGTCAGCCGTGAGGACTATGATGGAATTCCTCTTTTCCAGTAAAAAGGGACCCGGTTTTCCGGTCCCGGGTCCCAGTTATTAAATAAATATAGTAGTACAACAGTGGTGGAGCCACGCGGCAGCTTTTGCTGTCGCACGGATGGGCCGGCTCAAACCGGGGTGGTACCACGACCTCACAGAATACCAGCGTGAAGTAGAGGTTTACCTCTGCGTTTCGCTTGGTGAGTGCAGGTGGTCGGAGGCCCTTTTTACTGGAAATGAGGCATTCCATCTTAGTCCTCACGGGTGACAACGCATCTGCATTTTGATTCGCAAACGAGGATAGTTGTAGATGTCTATGGGCCGCAGCAACCACTTACCATCAGGTGGACTGTGTGCTCGTTTATAACCCTTATCCTATAAAAAAAAAGTATAGTTATACTTTGTAATAAATCAATAAATAGAAATTTATTACCGATAGCCGATATGATCAAAGAAGACAGTCTCAATCAGATTATTTATTGTTTCATATAACGTAAAAAGCAATAAAAATGATGTGTAGAAACAAGAAGAAAAATTAATTAATAGATAATACAAGTGATAATGACAAAGGAGCACGTAATCACCTGACGGTAAGAGAATTCTGTAGCCTACATTTGTCTTCGATTAAAGAAAAGAATGAAGAGATTGTAACTCCTGAAGAATAAAATGGAATGCACCTACCTACGGATCTAAGGGTATCCAGCTTCGGTCATTCGTCACACGAAACACAACAGCATCATGTTCTATTGTCACTGGTGTCCTATGAAAGCGTGATTCTTCCCCGTTCAGCCGACTCATTCATGATACAGCAATAGTATTTCTGTAAGGTGGCTCTTCTCTACAGAACTGCAAGGTACAAGCAAGAAATTTTTTAAAAGTTTTGCCCCCTTTTAGTGTTTTTATATCCTTGTGCACTGAACAAGTGGAATTTGTCGGCTCTTACAAAATATTAGGAATAATATTAACCTTGTATAATTATCGATGTCATTTTCCGATTCTGTGTTAAATAGAAATTCAAACATTTCTATTATTATGTAGATCTCCCTCGAGATTTTTATAATAGCGTCAGTTATCAATAGAAACAGGAACAGATTCTTTATTCAATACTTGCGATTCGGCCTGGCTTCGCACGAATTATGATCCGGCGAGGGATAAATATGTTTAAAAACCGGCCAATTGCGAGTCGGACTCGCGCACCGCGGGTTCCGAACAAATCCGTAGGTATATAAGTTTAAAATTATTAAAAATATTTTTATTACATGATGTAACTAAAAATTTATGGTTTTCGCAATTTTTCCTTTATTTGTGCTATAATACGTTGCTTCGTACCAAATTTTAAGATTCTGAGTTCACGGGAAGTACCCTGTAGATTTTGATTCCCTTGCGAATGTCGAAAATTTGCGGCATAAACGGCTGTATCTTTTGATTGCGTTGGCTTAGAACTTTTAATATTTTCACAGCCCCGAGGGACAGTAGACTTGAGTATTTGATATGAATTTCAGCTTGATACGTCCACGCGTTCTTGAGAAAAAGGGTCTTGACAGACAGACAGACGGACAACAAAGTGATCCTATAAGGGTTCCGTTTTTTCCTTTTGAGGTACGGAACCCTAAAAAAATATAAATAAAACGACATTACAATATGAGATACAACTTAGGTCTAATTGTCCGAGCATCCCGAGTCCTCGTAGGCTGCGTTCGAATGTGCTGAATTGCGGCACAGCGCCGCCGTGGCGTCGCTCTTGTGATAAGCTGGCTAGCTTGTGATAGCTTGTGATAAGCATTCCTTATAGTGTACATAACACACGGATGATTTCAGAATCTTGACAACAGCTCCATCTACCGGATCCAATTGTGAATCTAAGTCATCCCAGGATTCACTCAAACAGAAAAACAAAAAACTCAACAGAATCGGTTGAGCCAGTTTCGAGTTTTAGAGAGACTAATGGACAGTAATTGGTTTTATACTTTCAATAAGAAAATTATTCCTATGTTTAATTCACCACTGATTCGAGGAATACCTCTATCCTGGGAAGGAACAGCAAGAAACCCAATTTAAAAAAACGTATCTCCACAGTTTACAAAAACGTCTTATAACATTATAACTATACAAATCATATTAGAGAGAGCTTGGTAGAGATCACCTTATTACCAGTGGTTTTATCATTCATCAATTCCTTGATTAAAATTACCCCACTAGTTCTATTGCATTATCCCTTGGCAGAGAAATCGGCACTAGATTTTAATGACCCCCTGCGTTTTTACTTTCTTAATGAACTATAGCACCGAGGAAATTTTTAGAGAGGTTACCTCGACATGTTTTGTAAGTTCGTTTTCTTTTTGTCTAATCTATATATTTATAAACCATTGTAACGACAACATATTAAATCCATATAATTAACTCTTCTCTTCTCTACACTCACCATACGAAACTCAGCAGCATTAAGCTGCTATTTAACGCTGGTATTCTGTGAGAGCGTGATCCTTCCCCGGTCGAGCCGACCCATTCGTGCTACAACTATACAATTGATATGGCTGCAGCATAGCTATACCATGTTAAGTAAATCGACTATCGTA